CCGGATGGCCGGATCCGATCGAGGAACAATGGCCGAATATTCACTGGACGTGGACACCTCCGTGAGCTCCTCCACGGCTGCAAGGGTGCCCGTCGGGGCAGAACTCGAAATTGTGTCCAGGTTCAGATCCTCTTCAAGAGCTGTGGTTAACATGCCCTCGATGCGCTCGACGGTATGATAAATATCTCTATCGACATCGGGGAGCATGTCAAGAATCTTCTGGATGAAATGAGGGTTATGGAGTGGTCCAGCCCACATCGGGCCGCCCACATGAGTTTTGAAGCCACAATGTTCACAGTGTGTGCCGGCAATAGGCCCTTGAGCGAACCCATAGTGATAGTAAGGATTCCCTTTCTTGTCCAATCTTTGTTTCGTCTGCGTCAGAGGCTGCGTTGTCCATGCTCCGCAACCAGAGTCACAGTTGAAAACTAACATTGTGTTACCTGAGGCAAATTTGACCTCTGCCGGCGATCGGTGAATACGAACGAAGACACGTGCATAGAAGTCGATGGACAAGGAGAGAAGCGGCTCGATTGCAAGTCCATATTTCGCAGCCGACGTCGCCAGTCCATGTAGTATAAGGCGCAGTCCACCTTCATGAGAATGCGATCCCTTGATGGTGACGCCCCCGTATAAAGCATATGCCTTTTCTGGGTAACCGTTGGATGCCCATACGCCCGCATCGGTGCAAGTGACACAGAGAAGACCACCGTCTTTGACACCTTGAACAGCAGCATCCATAAACGGAGCCGCGGTACCGTAAGGATCTAGGTCGATGACATCAAACTTGCCCGCGTGAATTCCGCTGTTTTGTGTGCTTGGTTGGTTTAACAGGCTGTACATGTACGCACGTGCATCCCCGAGATTGGGTCTTATGAGCTTTCCAAGACCGTTGTATTCGATGTTCGTCTTCATCCTCTGAATCGCAGAGCTTGATAGGTCATTTGCAACCACACAGGTAGTGAAGGGAATTTCTGAGGCATATCGTAGAGCCCGTAGACCCGTAGCGGAGAGCGCGTCCAAGATTGTGAAGGACGGAGTCTGCTGATCAGAGGTTGAAACAGAGGAACCGAGATTTCCATTCGCCGCAGAGGGTTGCTCGACATCTCCGTGAGTTTGTTCCTTGTCCTCTTCGTCTTCCCTCTTGCGCTTTTTCCCCCTGCCGGAGCCGTTGCGTTTCCTCTCGGCTTTCAGCTTCTTGAGGGCCAGCACATGTTCACCATAGGCTTTGATCGCCAACACACTGAGATCCCGGTTGAATTGCTGGATGGGATTGTAGAAGACAGATTGCGATTGGTCTTCAGGTTTGAGGTCCTTTTTCGTCCCCTTGGAAGCTGCAGCCTGGGTCGGCGGGTTCAGAATGTATGCTCGACCTTCTTTCACAGCCTGGTATTCCTGCCCATCATGCTGCACCAGTCGACTGGCGCCATCAGCTGCTGTTGGATCCTCCATGAGTGAAGATACGGAGTAATAACGGGGGGGAACTATGCCTGAGCGACTGTGGGTCACCGCATATACCGTTAAGGGATGCGAAAAGCCAAGGAACTCGGGTCTTATGTTTCCAACGATAGATCGAAATATTGTCAAGCTTTGAAACCGTTTAAGTGAATTCAGCCACATCGGCTTCGGGCTAGCAAGAGTTGAATCAGGACCATTGACAAGCTTGAGGTCCGCAAGCTGGTTGCGGGGAGTAGAAGGGGAGAAAAAAAAGGTCAAGAAATTGTATAACGCACGGACCCAACAACCCTCAGATAACCGTAACAACCAACAATGAACAACGTGAGATATCTTCTATGGATTATTTGCTTGTCTGTACGGAGGATTTGAGTCTATTATATAGTCTGTATTCGGCTATCGTGGCAGTACATCTATTGCAATGTAAATGTTGACATACTATGGATTATATTTCCTACTACTGTACACAACCTCCAAGAGCAATCGCCCCAGAGTCTGTCAATTAGTTATACACAATAAGATTAGGTCATAACCAAGCTCCAATGATGGGCACTCGGTCATACATACCATCCCAACTGCTCGCTTCCCAACCGGATCCTTGTCCTCCAAGCCCGATAATTCCAAGTGCACCTGCAAGCCAAACAGATGTTCCTATCACTGCAATGCCATTGACAATCCACCAGATCTTTCTCTGCTTCTTCATTCGTTGCTCGCTGTCTGCGTGGCCTAGGTACCCCTCGAGTGAGCCTTTCTTGTGTATTCGTTCCTTTCGGGCGGTGGTGACTCTCCACCCCATCCAATTTGCCCACCCCCCAACGATATGCCATACTCCAACAGCGACAAATATCAAATAGTAAACGTTCCAGAAAACTGGGCTTCGCACAAACCCATGCGCAACGTAGCCAAGGCCGACTCCCGAGCTTCCACCGTCGACCATCAGCGGCACGACACGGTTGACAAGAACATGAGCACCGACCAAGGGGACAAGCATGTAGCCCAAGCGCGCTTGAAGGGTCATACGGGGCCAAAAAGAGAGTGAGTACCGTTGAGACCTTGTCTCGGCGCCGTAAAGTCGTGCCCTACGGGAAGAACGGATGTTCCGTAGGATGATCCCGGAAGTAACATGGGCCAGGATGGGAACGGTAAGAATGGCGTGCTCAAGAGATGGAGACTGGTACAAAGGTCTTGTGAGGAGGAGATAGTTTTCGGCGGCAGGCACGGAGCGGGTCATCAGAGGAATGAGCGAGGTATTGGCAAAGTGTAACGTGAAGAATAAAGTCGGCGGGTATGTGGAATATCTCTGAATGGCGGACACTGCAGGTTTACTTGTTAGCTTACACTTGATCGGCAGATGAGCCGAAGCATTTTCTCTCTCAACATACACCAAGAATCCCAGTTATGTCCGCGGAGGCCCAGTTTGGGAAGAGACAATCCGCCATGTGCTGGAGTGTCTTGGGCCTTATCGAAGAAGCCGCCGTTTTCGATATCACCAAACTCTTCAGAGACCGGAGAGGGATCCAATTCCTGCATGGAAATCAATGATCGTGTGTCGACATCATCGACCTTGGGCAACGACAGATCTCGAGGCGGCATTGTATATCACGAACGAAATGTCTCTCTAGCTAAGAATGAATCAGAGAATATTGTAATGATTATTAAACGATATAAAGATCATCGCATCGTCATTATCATGAGCAAGCTTTAGCCAGCATTGGGAGTGACCGTCTTTAGGTTGTTGTATCTCCTCACAGATGTCCTGTGTGCCTGGCTTTTTCCCTGTTGTAGTCGGACTGCACTATCATTGGCTTGTCGGCTTTTCACCACTTAAGCACTTAAGCCGAATCAACCTTAGGTAACTATCGAAGCTACCTATTTACTACTGATGCCAGCCGGACGAATTGACAAAAACGATCAGTACTCAAGGTAGATACTTCAAGATCTATTCTGACATTTACAGTTGAACAGGATATCCCCAGTGCATGAATCAGTCAAGGTACCTGGTAGGTTGGAGTACGGCGGTGAGATGTCGGTACTTATTCTGTCGGCAGAATAAAGTGATGATAATAAGATGTTAAGCCATTCGACAGATATCGATGCCTTCCATTACCAATATATACCAGTTACTGAATCAACCAGTCGATCGCCAGCGATTCATCTTTTCCCGTAAATCTCGTCGAGCATTTCTTCACAATATTTTTGGTCTTTGACCTGACCTGTTGTATGAGTTCAGGCAGCCATGGCACCGGTATGCTTCCTGAAATGCGTCTGCTCCAAACGGTTATCGGGTTACGACCTTGATATCCAGTTTTGCAAACTTGCAATTCGAGGTTACTGATCTCTCACTCCTTCTATCTTATCTGTACCAGCGAGGGTTCACGAATCCTACTCCCAAGGTAAATCATGACTTTGAAATCCCAGCGCTGTTCAAATCTATTGAAAGACTGCTAAAAAATACTTTTTGCTCACAATTTCCAGACTGAATCTGCCCGCTCTGCTTTGAGCTCCTTCACATGTACTCTTTGCAATAAATCTTACTCGCGCCATCCGGAATATGAAGCTCATATCTCTTCCTACGATCACCAACATCGCAAGCGCCTACAAGATCTGAAACAATTGTCGCGGGATCCAAATGCTGCTGAAAAGGCAAGAAGAGCCGAGAAAAAGGCGGATGCAGAGGCGGGACTGAGAGTAATCGGAACGACTCCCGCATCAGGAGCCGGAGGCGCCATAGGCACAAGTGGGGGGGGAGGGTTTAAGAAAGGAGGTTTCAAGAGCTCCTTTACCACGGTCAAAGGGCCAGTATCTACTACTGTGTCTACGAGGAAAAATGTCCTAGGGGATGACGATGACGACGACGCCGACCAAGCGGTAGGAGCGGGTGAATCGAGCGAACTTGTGAGGAACCGACCCAGGCAGGATACGGACACTCAACACGAGAATGCAGAGAGCGATACTGACGAGGAGTACACAAACGACGATACGGGGGCAAGTTACTATGATCCTCGAAAACCTACCGACTGCTCGTTACGGTGCCCAGGGTTTCAACATGAGCTTCCCATAGCATGAACGATGTTGCTTTGCCACCGATTCGCCACCAAGTAGATGCAATGGGCGCTTCTCATGATTATGCTAGCATGTATTTCGGAGTTACGGGCTTCCTCTGTCTGAATGGGGCTATTTTATTCATGTACATAGTTATATTCTCGAGCCAGCATTGCTTGCCATGACGTCTTCGCTCTTCAACCTGACTTGGATGCAAATTCTGTAAGCGTAGTTGACGCTTTGTCCTCGCTATCATTCTTGGTCGCGAAGTACTTTTGTTACTGCCTGAAGTCATGTGGATGGAGAGGATTCTAGCACAAAATTATGGACAAAAACTGGGAAATTGAGTTGAAGTCGATTCTCTAGTGTAGTTGTACAGTTTCGAATAAGGTTAATTTAAATTAAGGAACAATGAAAGGCTTGCAATAGAGAAAGGGTACTAGACGCATGATTTTGATTCTCCAAATAATGGGAAGACCTCCAATTTATCGTATACAGCCAGTTCAAAGTCGTAGAAGCTTGGCAGCCTGGCCAACGATAGTATCCTCTTGAGGGAAGCTCATCTGCTCAAGACCAACAGCGTAAGGTGTAGGAACCTCGGCGCCGGTAACACGAACAGCAGGAGCAGTGAGGTAGTCAAAACCATATTCCATGGACAAGGCGAGGATTTCGGACCCGACACCGAACATGGGGAAGCCGGATTCGACGCACATGAGGCGACCGGTCTTCTTGAGCGACTGAATGATTGTCTCAACATCAAGCGGCTTAACGGACCGAAGGTTAATAACTTCAGCTTCGACTCCATACTTCTGCTTCAGCTCAGCGGCAGCGTTGAGCGACTGTCCAACGCAGCGGGACAGAGAAACGATGGTCAGATCCTTTCCAGGACGCTCGATCTTGGCTTTTCCGATAGGAAGAACGAAGTCATCCTTCTGAGCAGCCTCGCTCATGGGGAACGCTTGACCATACAAAAGCCTAGCCAGATGTCAGCCCAAGTCCGGCAATGTCAAGCGATTCTGGCAGCACATACTCATTTTCAAGGACAACGACAGGGTTGGGGTCACGGATAGCGGCCTTCATCAGACCCTTGGCGTCCTCAGCGCTCCAAGGAGCCACAACCTTCAATCCAGGAATGCTGCCGTACCAGGCCGAGTAGTCTTGGGAGTGCTGAGCGGCGACACCAGCAGCGAATCCGTTCGGTCCACGGAAAGTGATGTTGCAAGGCTGAATACCTCCAGACATGTAATGTGTCTTAGCGGCGGAGTTGATAATTTGATCAATGGCCTGCATAGCAAAGTTGAAGGTCATAAACTCGCACTGTAGATGCGAATCACAATCAGCCTTCCAGGTCTATCCACGAACGGGTAAACTTTCGACTTACGACAGGATGCAATCCAGCGAGAGCGGCGCCAACAGCCAAACCACAAAAGCCCGCCTCTGTGATGGGAGTATCAATAACCCTCTTGGGACCGAAGCGGTCCAATAGACCTCTCGTCACTTTGTATCTGTGGTGATGAGAACAAGGTCAGAAGAGAAGAATCACAGTATAGCACGTCATTGCGAGTGATATATGGGGCAAAAGCAAGTAGTTAAGAGAAGGTAATCCCATACGCTCCATTGTACTGCGCAACCTCCTCACCCAGGATAAATGTCTTTGGGTTACTCTCAAGCTCCTCGGCAAGGGCTTCGTTCAATGCGTCTCGGACAGTAACTTCCTTAGTACCGCTTTCCGTAGCATATCCCCGAGCGCGTAGGATTGAGGGCGCACAGGCGGACTTCTGGAAAGTAGAGCGGAAAGGTGTAGCGGAAAGTCGAGATGAAAGCAGACGAGCTGCTGGGCGGAAAAGTCGGGGGGCAGCCATTGCCGTCTCGAAGAGTGTAATTGCGAGAGTAAAAGGGAGAAATGACTTCAGATAGCTTCGTCTGCGGATGAGGATGATGATGTGAAGGAGACTTGCGGGAAGAAATGAGCCCCAGTACCTCCTAACTCCGTTTCGGACCTGGCCGTCGATAAGTTTTTTGGTTTTTGGTGAGAGCTTCGAGACTGTTGGGCTAGCGATGACTAAGCGCCGCCCTCACCGGCACCTTCTTCCGTATTATTGTTTATCCATGGTCAGACCATCGTACAAGTATAGATAGCTATCGAGAATAACATACTAGCACCCATTACTATCTCCTTTGGACGGGAAAAAGAGCTGCAGCTTACTGATTCCTTTCAAAGTCATTTGATGGTGTGGGACATTGCGCTGACCAGGATGAAATACTTCGGTTACTGGGCACTTCTGATTTTATCTTCACCCTGCTTAGCTATCCAGCCATCAACTCCAGATGCCATACCAGCGCCCATTCGCGATCTCCAATGGGGTCAGCTGAATTTCCTCCACACTACAGACACTCACGGCTGGCTGGCCGGTCATCTACAGGAGTATGGCTTTGCCATCTAATGTGCCATTGTTGATGCTCGCTGATGCAGATCGAAAAGGGCTTCCTATGGAGCAGACTGGGGAGATTATGTTTCTTTCACCACCCGCATGCGGGAGAAGGCACTCGCTGAGGGGAATGATCTGCTGGTAATTGACACTGGTGATAGGGTTGAAGGGAACGGGCTTTACGATGCTTCGGAACCCAAGGGCGCCTACATCTCCGACATTCTGCGTCAACAGCAAATTGATGTGATGTCCGCCGGCAATCATGAACTGTACAAGCAGAACACCTCGGAGACTGAATTCTTGGCTACTGTGCCCAATTTTTGTGGTAGCTACCTGGCGTCCAACATTGACATCGTTCATCCAACTACCGGAGAGCTCGTGCCGTTGGCTCCACGCTTTAAGAAGTTCACAACCGAGAAACAGGGCATCCGCATCGTCGCTTTTGGTTTTCTATTTGATTTCACAAAAAATTACAACAACACAATCGTCCATACGGTGGAGGATACGATCAAGACAAACTGGTTCCAAGAAGCCATTCGTGACGAAGAAGTCGATCTTTTCCTCGTGATAGGCCATGTTCCAGTTCGTTCGAAGGAGTACAACGCTGTTTTCGAAGAGATCAGAAACATTCACTGGGATGTGCCAATTCAATTTTTTGGCGGCCATTATCATATCCGCGACTATGCTCGGTACGATTCTAAAGCGTACGGGCTGGCGAGCGGCCGCTTCATGGAAACCATTGGATTTATGTCAATCGACGGTCTGGCCACCAGCAAGAATCGGCTCAAGCCTGCGCAAGCAACTCCCAGCTTCAACCGACGGTACATTGATAACAACCTCTACTCGTTTCACCATCACACTGGTCTTGACCGGGATTCTTTCCCCACAGAGCACGGTCGAAATGTGTCACATCTTATTCAGCAGTCCAGGGATGCCCTTCAACTGGATAGGGTCCACGGTTGCGCTCCTCGGGACCTCTGGATGACCCGAGTAAAGTATCCTTCTCAGGATAGTATATATACATGGCTGGAAAAGGAAGTGCTTCCCAATCAAATGAAGGATGACTCACGCGATGAAAAGCCCGCGTTGGTCATTGTCAACACTGGAGCCATACGCTTCGACATATTTAAGGGTCCGTTTACGCAAGATACGACATTCATCGTCTCGCCCTTTACGAGCGGTTTCCGCTATATCAAGGACATCCCCTACGAGAAAGCGCAAACGGTAGTAGAAATTTTGAACAAGCAACCGCAAATTTTGACTGCGCCTATGGACCACACAAATTGCACACCATGGACTCTTGCACCGCCGGAGCAATCAATGCATATGCACGACAAGATTGTGGAAAGCGACGATGTGGCTGCTCACTATCTTACTGATCAGAGTCGGCTTCCAATGAGCAGCCCATTCGCGCCTGAGGTTTTCCCTGGCTACACCACTGCAGATGATGGGGGTATAGACGGTGATGACACTGTTCATTCGCCAATATCGTTTTACCGCGTTCCCAATTGCATTCAAGCTCTCATTTCTCCAGGGACATATGCAGATCCGGAGACAGTGGATCTTGTGTATATTGATTTTATTGAGCCCTACGTGGCTCTGGCCGCCAAATTGGCGAGCCTTGATCTCGATTTTTCACGGGATAGTGACGTTTATATGCCCTTCGAGACGTTAACTGATCTTATTTTGGACTGGGTCAAGAATAACTGGAAATGCGAAGATGCATGACTCTGTTTCTAGTCTGGTTCAGATCATTGTCTGTGCCAATGGAATCAGTAAATGATCCGATTTACTATAGCCTATTATGATTGCATACATGCACTTAATATACTTTTTATACCATCATCCCAGGGATTATTCATTCCCCTCGTATTTTAACAAGCCTTTGCCTTTGCGGAATCCACTTAGAGTTTCCTGCACACCTGCAGCAAGCTCAGCGCCTTCGGTTTCCCAGGTCCATTTGATGTATTCCACCGGGATGTCTTTGAATTTGCCGGCTCGAGTCAACTCCAGCACATCATTAACTGTGTTTTTCTTGAGCTCAGGGTGTTTATCTCCCCATCTGCTCACCCAGAAACCGTCGAAAACAAGGTTCTTGAAGATCAGAAGTCCAGATGGCAAGGCGACTGGCTGTTTTGACATGGCACCATAAGTGACCAGGTGCGAACCTGGAGCAAGGGTCTTCGCCAAAGCAGTGGCACTCTTACCACCCACACAGTTGAGGGCTAGTCGGATTGGCTCCTTTCCTTGACGGGTGAATTCATTCACTATGTTCTTAAATTCTCCAGATAGCAGCTCGGATTCAGTAACCACTGCATTGGCCCCCAGGTCGTAGAGCTCCTTTTTCAAAGAATCAGTTTCTTCGGGTGTCTTTCTCTCGCGAACAACATTGATGGTTTTGATGCCCCATTCGCGTGCAAGTTGGATTGCAGCTCGTCCAACACCGCTATTTGCTCCGTTCTGGATGAGCCACTCTTCTCCAGCCCGCATCCAATCCCAGTTACAGAAATCTTTGATCATTCGGTAGGCAGTTACCGGATTGACACTGACTGTGCTGACCTGAAGCGGGCTCAGACCTTCTTTGTTTTCAATCTTGATCACCTGCGATTCATCTAATTGTGCGTGGGTGCGCCAGGTGCCTTGTCCTGTCTGCTTCATTACGACCCAGTCGCCTTTGGCAAGATTTTTGACGCTGGAGCCAGTGGCAATGACCTCGAATGCGCCCTCATTTCCCGCTACGGCAGACGGTTCCACTGTGCCAAGCGTGGTCTGGAAGGGCGGTTTGCTCGGGTATACACCTTGAATCTGATTCACATCGGCCGGGTTCAAAGGCGCTGCTAGAAGGCGGAGAGTGACTTGCGTCCCATGAGGAGGAGAGATCGAATGCTTGTGGAGCCTGGATGAGGGAGGACAAGTCAGGCTACCTATCTGTTTCCCAGCGATTGCATTCTAGGTGCTCTTACCGCAGAACATCCTTCGGTTCACCGTATCGCGAATAGACTAGAGCCTTCGATTGCGTATAGCCATATACTGAGATAAATCTCTTTTGCCCCAGACGCGAGTCAGGTAAAAGGACTTCATGCTGGCCGGATGGCGCTGGAAAGCGCAGAGGCGAAGCTCTGCCTCTGAGGCCGAGGGAAACACCGACACTGGAAGAGCTGGTAGCTGATCGCACCACAGTACGGAAAAGCATAATGACGTTTGGGGAGTGCCGAGCCCTTCTTTGACTGTTAATTGATTTCAAAGGATTCAGGTAAGGTCAAAGAGCCAGCTTCGTGTAGCAATTGTTATAATTGTTGTCGCTGGCGGCGTCGAAGAAAACCCGAATGACGTCGTTTCCTAGCCGTCGGGCCGAAGGAGGAAAGCAGCGCTTCGGCATAATAAATGATACTCATTCGTATTTGGGCAAATTATTGAACATTGGGTTGCTATATGGGAAAGAGTATGGTCAGGTTCTTTATCACTTGATATTTCTTGCTGGAGGACCTGGTGTGCCTGGTTTGCTGGCGCCCGTTGTCGAATGTGTATTTACAGATAGGCATGCGTTGGTGCAAAGCGACTCTCTAGAGAGGTAGTAGAACGATCAAATTCGAATTGACTGAACCATTTCTTAGGAGGAATAGTTCTCTTAATTCCTCGATCTTCGACAACTACGGAGGGCATTCGATGAAGTGGTACCGATCAGATACCGACCCTCGCGAGACTGCTTAAAACAACCGTCCCGACACTTTGCCGAATTGTTGTAAACTTCCTACCCACCGCATTCAAATGTACCTCGAGTTTTCCGAGCCTCTGCCGTCGGTGTCCCTGTCACCACCTACCATCACCGCTCAGGGTATCTAAATGTCCTTATTGCGGGAAGCTGAGAAATGTATCACTAACCAAAGGTCACATGCCGCCCTCAATGCCTTCATAACAACTGTGCAGAATTCAGGGCCTTGGCGAGAACAAGTGAGAGATGCAGAACTTAGGAGAGAATCGGGTAAGATCCCAGCAGCTTTTGTCCCGTTCTCTCTCTGACTCATTCGGGCACTGACGCATGCTTTTTGAAACGAAAAGGGAAATCGAAATCCAAGGTTGACGGTCGCTTGATTGCCTTCAAAGACAACATTTGCACGCGCGATTTTCCGACAACATGTGCCTCCGGGATTCTAGCCAAATTCACCAGTCCATTCAATGCCACCGTGGTGGAACAGCTGTCGGAAGCCGGCGCTATAATAGCTGGTAAGACGAACTTGGATGAATTTGGGATGGGTTCTCATTCTCTCAATTCATGGTTCGGCCCCGTCAAAAATCAGCGTCAGTACCAGGAAGGACGAATTCTCTCAGCTGGTGGAAGTTCTGGTGGAAGCGCCGTCTCTGTCGCTACAGATCAATGTTATGCGTAGGTGTTTTCGCTCCTGAATCAGTCGAACTTCCTTCCTTGGGGGGCA